GAGGCAGATTTCTGAACAAGCAGGCTACTATTGATGACTGTGGACTAAAGGAACCACCAACGGGGGAGATCCTGGCTAATAATCTGACTGGAAAAGAGGTCCCCTTTGGAGACCACCTAGGTCAGCAGTCACCCAGTTCATTTCTTTCAACAAGTTGTCTCCAAGAGTCTTTCAGAGATTCTTCAGTAGAAATGAATGGTCTTTCCACAGTGATAGACGTTTCAAGAAGTAATGAAATGTCATCTGATACTATGAGCAGCAGAAATTCAAAGGAACGAGAAAATAATTTTCCTGACGAAGTTGAGAGTTTTACAACATCTCTACCCAAAACCGAATTGCCAACCAGAAAGAGTATATTTTCTTTCCTAACTGGATCTGAAAAGTCTGAGAACAAAACCTCCGCTGCTTTCCCAAGAGCCAAGCCTCAAGCAGAAGGGTTATTTACACTTCGTTCCTTTTTCCCCACCACCAGCTCAAACAGCAAGAAGGATGCCTCTCATAATAGCGCTACTTTTAGTTTCTTCAACTTGTCCTTCCTGAATGAAAATCAGCAGACTTCTGGGGGGAAAGAAAGCTTTGCAGCTGTTCCCCCCATGACTTCCCAGCCAGATAATAAGCCACGTGTTTTTGCAGATATTGGTGGCACAATGAGTAGTGAGAATTCCAGTGGCAACATAGATAGTGTAGCTCAGGAGGGAATTCATGACCAGCAACTGCCCCCTAGTGAATCCAGTAGCAAGACCATTGAGGTTACCTCCCTCATAGATGAACTTAGCATAGGGAAGCATGAACAAGAGAAAGAGAGTTCTGATGATGCACTGGGGGCATCTTTAGCAGATTTCCACATGACTCAGATGCAGGAAGACACTGCTCCTCATTCACCATTACTTCAGGCACAGACGGAAACTTTCCTCAGTTCCCCTGAGGCCTTGGAGGTAGCTTCCTATGAAGAGGCTTTCCACCAGAAAACTTTCCTCAGAGATTCCTCTGTTAAGTCTTTGTCACATGATAGTTGCTTAATTGAAAAGCTCAACAATTTAGACATTTGCACTGACAGTCAACAGAGTGACAGATTTACTAGTGATCCATTGAACTTGCCATTAGAAAAGATCCCTGAGGAGATTTCACTACAGAGTCTGGAGCCACCTTCTTCCTCTACCAAAACAGGGTGTGCAGGGCACCCCCAGAGTCAAGACACCGAGAAAGAAGATAAATCAGTGTTGGATTCGTCAGCAGAAGTGCTTTCAGGATTCATGGACAAAGTAAAATCTTTCTCTGGGTGCTTAATTGAGCCCCCAAAAACTTTCTCTGGATTTTTCTCTTCCCCTAAACTGCCGAAGAAAACCTCATTTTCCCCTCTTTCTTCTGGCACATCATCTCAGTCCCTCACAGGTGAATTCTTTGGAATTTTCAAAAGTTCCAAACCAGAGGCATGCAAACAAGAATCTCCTATCCCACCTATTTTACAGCCTCAAAATGATTATTCCAGAGATGTTCTAGAAGCTAAACCTCTGGAAAATGTGTGTGTAGAAGCTGCTTCTGCAGTGCTCGATTCAGAATCCATACCTAGTGACTGTAGAATGACTGTGGTTAGTGCAAAGTCAGACTCAGATACTTGGACAGATGATACTAAACTAACAACCCTAGTGGAAAACAATACCATTCCAGACACTGTCCCTGCAAACACCCTAGAGCCCCAAGGTTGTGAAGCAGTTGGCATTATACCATCAGTTTCTGCAGATGATACTGTGCCAAGATTATTGTCTCTGAGCGATGAAGGAGACATGGGGGTGCTGCAGGGGACAGACACAGAGGCATCTTTAGAAGCTGAGCCAACACAGTTGCCCCCAGATTCTACCTGCATTTCCAAAGACTTTCCTCCTCCAATTCAACCTCCTCTTCCTCTTGAGCCAGAGCCAGCTATCCAATCTGCCTCCATACATCAAGACACCTTGGAGCTGCATGCAACCAGTGTATCAGAAACCAAAACAACACCGTTTGATGAGACAAATATTAGCCGGAGCACCCCACTGGCAACCCAAGAGCGTGTTTCTCATTCTTCCCTGGAGGGACCTATACTTCATGCTGAAAAAAGTCCTGAGATACTTCATGGTCAGAAGGACCCACCTGCAACCTCCCAGGAAAGAGACCAGTCAAGACCTCATCTGGAGATCCCAAGTATGGCCAGCTGGCCAAGGCTCCGCTTCCCGTCCTCTGCCACTGACTGTGGGAAGCCACTGGGCTCTTTCTTTTCTTCACCTTCCCCCTCTGGTAGTAAAGCAGCAGAGACTGGTTTAATGTCCAGTTTTAAGAAATTGTCAACTCTATTGGAGGGAGGGAGTGAGGGGAAAGGGAGCATGCTGGCAAGCGAGCTCAAGCTAGGGTTTGGAAAGAAGCTGGATCTTTCATTTCCGTGGCAGAAAGAGAATAAAGAGTGCCCAGAACAGCTGCCTGCCAAGTCCTCCCCTCCAAGTGTCATCATCACCAGTGAAGCTAACACAGCTACGGAGCCCTCTCAAATTTCTGAGGCCAGTGTGGAGCCAGATGATGCCCATACGCAGCCTCCAGGGACTCTTGAACAGCTAGAGACCAGGCTGAATGAGTGTGCCCTTGGGCTTTCAGGGCCTAAAGAAGTGGAAAACCAGCAGGAAATCCAAGCATTTGGAGAACACGTGGGTACCAAAGCCAGCAATCTCTCAGACCCCATGTATTCTTCTGGAACACGTGGAAAAGAGCATTGTCGTCTCTCTGAGCAACTTCAACAGCCAGAAAGACAAGATGAGGAAGCAGTGCCTACTAACACTGACCTTGATTCAAGTGTACACCAGCTGGCCACTCTGAATGACGTCAAGGAACCAAAGATCGACAAAAGGCCTGTTCTTAACTTAGGCATCATAAATAGTTTTATGACCATTTATGATGCAACTGACCTGGTGGTTAGATTAATCATAGCTTGCTTTTTATCCTGCCTGTGTCTTTCCTAGTACCTGAGCTTCATATTAATTAGGAGTTAACAAGAAGTAATGCGTGGGCCCTTTTATCCCCTGCCTTCTTACTAGTGCCAAGGATAATTCATTTCTTGCAATAAGGAGCTTCTTGCTTAAAGGAAAGACTAGACCAGCATTTCCTCATTCTGGTTTGTTCTGACTGTAAAATGTGCAAGATGGAAAGGAGAAGGCCGAAAGGGGCAGCAAGTAGTGGAGTGTTATAAACTACAACCATGTAACAGGTGCTTCCTTGGGCCTCAGTCACATCTATAAGAGATTGAGAGGAGTGTTCTGTTTTGCCCTTCCAAATCTTCTAAGATGCTTTCTGCAGTGGCACTGAAAGTATGAAGTAAAGCGCAAATAATGTTTTGAGAGTTTATATTTCATATCCTATTTTGGGTAGATTTGCATAGTTCTTTCTAGTCTATCATTCTCTGCCTTTATTCCCCTTGAGACTGGGGTTTGATTAGTGCTTTAATTAAAGTCTCACAGGAGCTCAGGGCTACCGTTTGCTGTCATCTTTTAGTCTGGAGTATTGTGCAGGGCCCATCTGCGAAAGGAGCTTTTATTTCCTCTGAGGAGGAACTTCACTGAGTACACTTTAAGAATGCTGCTCTGATCGTTGGCCCAAACCTGCCCAAAGGAGCTAATCAAGGGCTTCAGAGATTCAGGTTCTGTCTGTCTCTCTGTCTCTATCTCTGTGTGTGTGTGTGACAGAGAGAAAATAAGACAGAAACAGAGAATATGAATATTTGAATTAATATGTTCATGCAAATTGGAAACTACTCAGAATCGTGATCCAGTGCCTATTCTGCTACTATGGGATAGAGGAGCAGCTGTAGGCCTGAAAACGCCAGGAAATTAGGATCAACCATGGGGGAGTATCACACCAGAAGAAAACCATTATTTCACTTGATTTGGAGAAGTATAAACATAAGACTTTTTTTAAAAAAGCTTAAATTGTGTCCTTTTGCTTGAAAGCTTTCCAGCAGAATACCAGGAATAAAATGAGTCCCAAATCCCCTGATTTGGGACTGAAATATCCTAGTGCACTGGGGTATTTATTCCAGATCATTGCCCCATCTTAATAGAAGTATATACTTCAGATAAGAGTGGAGGAGTTTATGATTCAAGGAAGTAACTTCTTTTCCTTTCGTATTACTATTCACTGCTACTTTATGTGCTACCACTGCCTTCTCATAGTAAGGGAAAGGATTTCCTCTCTAAGTATGAGAATTCAGGTCCTTGAGAGAGAGGTTTGGGCTGACATTTCTTCAGAGACAGAAATACTCTGATACAGTCTTGGGCCCTATCCTGAACTTATCTGCTTTCTCTAGAACTGACCCACACCTTGAGAGCAGCTCAGTTACAGACAGGTAGTTTATTCTTTGACAGGTAGTTTATTCTTTGAGATGTTCCCTGTGCTGCCCAGATATCACTGTGGCATTTATACAGGTGAAACCACCATCCTGTGGGGTTTCTTGGTCCTATTCTCCACCTCTCAATGTCATCTTCACCTCATTCTGTAGTAAAAGATCATTGAAGGAATATTCCTAGAACATTCCTACTCTCCAGAGGAAGTGGGGACCTGATTTTAACAAATTACAGAATAAAGGAATGATATTTATGAATTTATTTTTTAACCTAGTGGAAAATAGAAAACTTTAATCACAGTCATTGGGCAAATGAGTAAAGAGTTTTAGAAATAAGCAATAGTGTTTTAATAATTCTTGATCTTGTCCACATATATCTCATTAAGATGAGGCATCTGCAAAGTGAAGTACAAGGCTGAGGTTAAATGTTGTTGGAGACCCAGCATATTGTGTTTGCTCCTGTGTATAATAGTTTTGCTGAATAGAGGCTAGTTCGACTAGACTGTGATGTGTGGTCCTCTCCCAGGTACCTCCTGTTTGTGATACCTGCCTTTGCCATTATGTCCTACATTTGTTCATACTTTGCCTTGATACCTGGTTCGTGTTTACTTACGTATCTGTCTTCCTCCTATCCTCACAGCCCCACCAGCAGTAGTAGGTATGGCTCTTCCTGTAATGTGAGTCAAGGAAGCTCTCAGCTGAGTGAACTAGACCAGTATCATGAACAAGACGATGATCGTCGCGAGAGGGACTCACTTCATTCCTACCACAGCTCTGGAAGCTTCTCCAGAGATGGCCAAGCAGGTTTTGGAGAACAAGAGAAAGCCTTGGAGGTGACAGATGAAACGGAGAAGGGCAAGGCGAGTGAACCCAAAGAGCTTAAACAAGATACCACAGCCCATCCTCTTCCACATCTGGTGCTACATAAAGAGGACGTTGTAAGACCACAGGAGAGGTAAGTTCTAGCTACCCTGAGATGCTCCCAAGGCCTCCTCAGTCCTTGCTCTGCGGTATTGCTGAACAGAAGTGCTTTTCATTTTCCCCCCATGCAGCTGAGTATGGTTGTTGTTGTTATGTGCCGTCGAGTCGTTTGTGACTTATAGCGACCCTATGCACAACAGCCCTAAACTCTGTTCTGTCCTGCGCCAACCGCACTGCCTCTGACACACCCATCCCGATTACCCCAGTCACCGAATCAATCCATCTCATAGAGGGTCTTCCCCT